GCCGAAAATACCTTTACGTTCAAGATTCGGAGATTTTAAGAACCACTTTCCCGTAAATTCGAAAGAAGATATTCGATGAGAAGAGCTAACATACCTTTGCTTAAACTGCCTAGCCCGCAACAATGTTTAGCTATTGATCTGAGGACGGAACCCACCATGCAAAACATCTTAGGTCCTTTTGAAAGTAATTCAACTTTATTCAAAAAAGCGCCACGTAACGCAAACTAAAAATTCTAAAAAACATGGTTGCATGCGATACGTACCTGCATCTTCTTTCAAGGTTATGATTGCATTCCATTTTAAACAATGGGCTCTCAGAAAATCGCCAAAAAGTGCGACTCATGTTTTTTTTGCCACGATCGGGTCCCGCTATTTTTCTAAACTTTTATACCTCCCCGTAGAATTCCAAGTAACGGATAGATACGGCTACCTTACAGGATACAAAATAATTTTCCCATTCCCGTAACTTCCAATTCGAGTGTTTTATTTGATATCATCAAATTCATATTTGGTCAACTTCAATCTTATAGAACACTAAGCGGCGAGCAACTCAGACCTCATTCGATGCAGTTTTCTCTCCTCTTTCTACTTTTCACTTCTAATTCGTAAAGTCTTCGAGAATAAAATCAACTTGATTTTGAACGCGCCCCAGACAGTACCCGAAAAGTTGAAATTTGATATCCAAAACAGCGAAGCTCATTTGCTTCGTTATACTTTAGGAAGTCTCAAATTTCGAAGATTTATTGACTCTTAAAGGCAGTGTCCGGGCAAAAAGTCGATTCTGAGATTTCATGCTTACCCGAGCCTATTCATTATGCTGAATCCGAAAATCCACACTAGAAGGAGCGAAAACGGCGAAATAGTGCTCTAACACAAGGTATTAGGAAATGGGCGGGATCTTCCCCACTGTAAATACATGCTCCAAGCTTCCGAAGCGAATTCTCGAAATTTTCTCGAATTCGCTAGCCGCCCTGACATCTCCACTGGTCGAGTGCGAACCTTTGACTTGAAATCGGAACCGAGAAGATTGCTCCGGAAGCTGGGAGCATGAATTCATAGCGAGGAAGACCCCGCTCACCTGCTATTTCACTCCTGCGTTAGAGCCCTTTTTCGCCGGTTTCGCGCTGTCCATGTGGATTTTCGGATTCCTCATAGCGAGTAGGCCCGGGTTAGCACAAAATCTTAAAATCGACTTTTTGCCCGGACACTGGCTTCAAAGGCAATGGCTCAGCAAAACATCTGGAAATTCTTTGTGATATCCTGCTTACACCGCAACTGTGAAAACAAAGCAAGCTTGAGAGCATAGTATGCTACCCCGCCAAAAAAGCTGACCCTAAACGTTCCGCGCGCAAGCCATTCTTACACGCATTCGGACGAGCTCGCGATTGCCCTCCCACATCGGAGCCCGCATGCCACAATGCTATAACCATAAAGACGCGACGATTCTGCGTCTTCGGCCTTTCGGGAATATTTCACTCATCCAAATCCAAGATGAGGGGCCTCGGAAAACGCTCGTTTTCGCCATTTTCCTGCTAGCTAAGATGGATCTTCGATCGAGTCGGATCACCCCTAATACCTAACTTCACCACCAATGCCCGGCACAGATCGTCTGTAAGCAGGCTGGACTTCGTTTTTGGAGCAAATAGCTAAGGAGATATCATTTTTGACGAATCGGGGCCAAACACTAAGAATAAGCGCCATTCTTCGAACACAAGCTTTTCAGACAAGTTATCACACGATTGACATGCTCTATCGTGTACGAAGAAAAGCGCGCTCGATTTTAAAGCAAGGCTAAAATGAAAAAATTGCTTGTTTACAGCGCACACAGAGCCGCATGACACCAAAACTGAGCTGTATACATAGAAAATTATTTGCAAAAGAATCATGCAAAAAGATTTGGAAACTTATGTGAAGTATTACTTTTTCCAAAATAAGTCCGTCTCTAGACGGTTACCAGACGATCTGAGATCGTCTGGAGCATATATTTCTGCCATTTCACATGAGTTTTGGATTTTCCTATCATGGACAGATTCCCCGGTCAAAAATCTATTCCTGACTATGAAAACATTTTCATATCATTGCCTTTCCCTTGTATTTGCCTTGGTTTCTGCATAAATCACTTGTTAAATATCGCGCTCCACTGCCAAACTCTTGTGCATGCGTGCAGTCTGCCCCAATCCTAACCAGGCCAAAATCGGCATGGCGGGAGTCCGCGCCGCAAGGGTTTCGCGCCACATCTGCGGCTAGCCAGTCTGCTCTCTCCTCGATCTCTTCACTCTCTGCGACAGCGCGCGTGCGAGCGCGCAAATTCAGCCGACGGTTCGGCCTGATCCCGGTAGGGGCAGACTGTAGTATTCAGCTCCAATTTGGATTTTCACCCTAATCTCACGTTTTTTCTCTCAAACTAGTAAATATTTCTTGTTTTCATCTTCTCATAGGTAGGTCAAAGGGGATCCGTAAAACTTCCGGAAGTCATGGGGAGACTTCCGGAAGTTTTACGAAAAACCTCAGAAACCGACTCGTGAGGGCGCTGTCCACCACCGAGATGCCCATGACACGTATATGTCTGAGATGCTAAACAGGGCCCGGCACGAGTCCGTTTCTAGGCTTTTTAAAAACGAAGTCTCCCTGAATTTCGAAAATTTTACGAAGTCCCCTTTGACTCTTGCTCTACCCCTCCCCCCCCCCCCATCGGACTGTTGGTAGATCCTTGTACTTAGTTCTTGACAAAACCATTTACCTGCTGCTAGCTACGAATCTCGCGATTCCAGGTCAAACTCTCAAAGAAAAACCAGAAAATCCACAAAATTTTGCTTCGTAAACTCCTACATGGTCACAGAATGATCAAAATAGATCTAGGGCTGAAGAAAGAAGAAGAGGAAGGAAGAAAATGGAAGAAATCATCAAAACATTGAAGAAAAAGCCAGAACTGAAATGAAAATTCAAAAAAAAGAGGATGCAGAAGAGTTGACGCTGGGGCGCGATATCTAATAAGGCGATTTTCGGAAAAAAGAGGATAAAAACGACGGACAGGGGGTGATATAAAAATGTTTCTATGCTCAGGGACAGATTCTTGGCCGGGGCATCCGTCCATGCTAAAAAAAAATACAGAACTTATGTGAAGTGATGAAAATATATGCTCCAGACGATCTCAGATCGTCTGGTAGCCGTCTGGAGACGATCTAATTTTGGAAAAGTATTTCTTCACATAAGTTTTCAAATCTTCTTACATGAGTTCTATTTTGGTGTCATATGATTCTGTGTGCGCTGTAAACAAGCAGTTTGTTTATTTTAGCCTTGCTTTTAAATCGCGCGCACTTTTCGCCACACACGATAGAGCATGTCAATCAACCGTGTAATAGTCCGATAAGCTTGTGCTCGACTGAATGGCGCTTATATTAGGTCGTCCCAAAAGTATTTTCGCTTTTTTCAAACGGTTGCCACAATCGACGGAACAAACCTTTTTAAGAGATCTTGGTAGCGTTCGATGCAGAATTTCATTCTCTTTCTAATGGTTATAAAACTGTTGCAAAACAGTCAATGAGCTTTCAGAAAATAACTAAAGCCTGCGACCCATGCTTTTTGAGATGGTCATGTTTCACGATTTTTTAAAACTTTCATATCAATCCTCAGAAGGAGTTTAAGTAACGATTCGATAGAGTAAACCTCATAGAATACAGTGCAAGTTTTTTCTCTTTTCCATAGCTTGTCATAAATTTTTAATAAAATTTTAACTGATGCTACCGATTTCCATACTTGGGCAGCTAAATCCTTGTAGAACATCAAAGGAAGAGCAGCTCGGGTGCTATTTGATGCAGCATTTTCTCCTCTTTCTAATGAATGTTTTTTGTTTCCGATTCGTTTAGTTTTCGGGGATAAAATCATCAAAATTCATTTTTTTAAGGAGCCCCAGGCTGTACCCGGAAAACTCGAAATTTGATATTTCGAATCCGTAAACTCTCATTTGCTTTATAAATTCAATATCAAGTCATATATCATCTTGAAAGCTTGAAATACAGAGTAACTACTGATGTTTGATGCGATTGTGGCTGAGGTGGTACTGCCAAAATCCGATGGCTTTGTTAAAAAATCTTTTAAAAAATTACGGCGAGCTACGAGAAAGGAAAAAAAAAGAAATACTGTATTCTATGAGGTTTACTCTATCGAATCGTTACTTGAACTCCTTCTGAGGATTGATATGAAAGTTTTAAAAAATCGTGAAACTTGACCATCTCAAAAAGCATGAGTCGCAGATTTTGATTATTTTCTGAAAGCTCATTGACTGTTTTGCAACAGTTTTATAACCATTAGAAAGAGAATGAAATTCTGCTTCGAACGCTACCAAAATCTCTTAGAAAGGTTTGTTCCATCGATTGTGGCAACCGTTTGAAAAAAGCGAAAATACTTTCGGGACGACCTAATACATTGTGCTCGGCTCATCAGAAACGGAATCTCCTATGCTTTTTGCTCCAAAAACGAAGTCCAGCCTGCTTTTAGACGATCTGTGCCGGGCCCTGATGCTAAAATCTATTTTGATAAAAATCTAGCAAAACTTGGCGAGTTGTGGGAGAGAGCAAAAACGTTCGGTATTGTAGATTTTGCTTTGACCATCCGGCATTTGGACTTCTTCAAAGAGTTGGTACAAACGTTCAGAAAAATAGTGAAACAACCATTGCAGAACTGTGGATCGTAGTTTTTGGTCGTTTTCTGAGAGCTCGAAGACGGATTAGAATAGGGAAACCATTGTTCGAGAGAGTATGAAAATGGTCGTCAAATGCGTTTAAACTCTTCTTAGCTTTTCTGTTTGCGAGATGTTATGCTCGTTCATAAAAAACGAGATTACTTCCGCAACGACGTAATATATTGTCTGATTGTTGCGACTTAACACTGCCCACCAGCGAACTTATTAGTGAACTCAATCAATCAGAAATGTTAGGACTGTATTGAGTGAGATTGGTATACACTTCTGAAAGGAATACTGAGGATGATTTATTTCCACGATAAAACTACCATTCGCATAAAAAAGTGGCCAAAAGCAGCAACCCATCTTGAGCTTTTCGACCCATACAATGAAACGAATGTTAAAAGGCTGTGATCATAATCAAACCCTCGTTAAAGCCTCTAGAAACACAAGAAGAGTATAAAATCATTTTTCAAAGTAGTAAAGTTCAATACCACAGGTGAGATATGAAATTTACAAGACAAGTATTCAACAGATAAAAAAATAACGAGATCAAGTAGAGCTAAGACTAATGCTACATCAACTAGCGATAAACTTGCCTGTCAAAAGACGTCTTCGTTAGGCAAAAAATGAAACGGAAAGCAGAGTAAACAACGATGACTGCATTTATAAGTGGAATGAGCTTTTCAGAAGCGTTACCGGAATAAGCGACAAGATAGTGAGATCCAAGCAGAAATAGCAAAAGAGTGACCGATACCTGAGCATAAAAACCGATTGAATCACCTAAAGAACGCATAGATAGTAGAGGGTGTGGCAGGAGAAGCCCCACTTGCGCAACAGCTCAAATCCCAATGTGTCTTCATTTGGAACACTCGTCAATTTCACTTAGAGTTTAACTCGAAACCGGTAGAGTATCTACTAGACGACTACTCAGTAAATCATCAAGCAGGGAAGATTTTGAGCAATAATTTCCCTTGAATATATAATTCCGTAAACGATGAGTAACTTAGTGCGCAAGTGCAGTGTCGATAAAGCCTCTTTCCGGCGCTCGCACCTGTTGTTCATCATATTTTACAGGAACATTTGAGATGGATTGCGCGATGAGTATCAAAGGCTGAAACACATTTTAAAGCATTTTCTTGCAGAACAAGCAACAAACTGACCTGTTCGGAATTATTTTTTTCTATTCGTGCATCAAAAAGTGTCGAATCACTATCTAACAGTGATCCTCCTAGTTCGCGATACAGTAACTGATCATTTGGAGTTTGTCCCGTCTGCTTGTAAAGCTGTATTTTCAGATCTTTTATCGTATCCGTCGAGGACATCTACAAGCAGCCTTTTCGCGACTGTGAATTGATCGGACAGAGCTAATTTACCTTGACTTTGAAACATTTATTTTTCTGTGTTCTCCTCGTAGTTTTAGGTACACTGGAGTTCACACCACCATCTTCGCTCTAAGAACTTGATATTGTCGGCAACAAAACGACATATGAACAAAAGTCTTACCAACGCTACGTAAATGAAAGCATCATCGTAAACATATCTCTGGACGTTCAAAGCTTCAAGACGCTCACCAAAACACCCTTCGCACATGTTCTCTATTCGACCTATAACAGTTATTTGAAGGCAGTGTCCGAAAGTCAATTTTGAGATTTTGGGCTTACGGCCTATTTTCCTATGCTGAGTTCGAAAATCCACACTGAACAGCGTAAACCAAGTTAAAAAGGGCTCCAACGTAGAAAGGAGATCAACAGGTGGGCGGAGTCTTCCGTCCCGCGAAATCACTTCCCAACTTCCGGACCAATATTCTCGATTCCGCTTCAAGTCACGCTCGCGCATGGCCGGGGTGATGTTGGGTGGCTAGCGGATGCGAAAAGATCGCTCCAGAAGCAGGGATTGCGATTCACAGAGTGGGAGATCCCGCGCATCTGCTGATTTCCCGCCTGCGTTAGAATCATTTTTTGCCATTTTTGCGCTTTGCAGTGTGGATTCTCGGTCAGCACAGCGAAAAGGTTCAGGTAAACAAAAAATCTCATAGTCCACCATTTGCTCGGGGAGTGTCCTCAAAGTTTTTGCTGAAATTGCATCACAAAACCAGCACACATAGTGCAAATCTAAGCATGCAAAAGACATCGCGCATTCGAGTAACCGTGAATCAAAGCAGCAAGCCAAGGTTTCTATTTGTATGTAATTCTGACCTCTCTCCGAAATAACAATTGGATTCGGTCGAGCAGATCCATCCAATCCCAAACCATTGGCAATTTCCTCGCATATGCGATTCCACTCCTTCTCCGTCAGTGCTACAAGATGGACACTGCCAAGATCGCAAGAAAGCCCAACATTCGGTAAACCGTGAGTACACATAACACATTCCTGGCATATCGTCGGCAACATGATTGATAAACTGCGAGCTCTGAATAACTCACAATCAATCAAGAACAGATCTTAGCGAATTAACAAACAAAAAGCTCACTTGATTGTTGCTGTCAGCTTGCTCAAAAACTGGCTACAGATACCCCGTGAGTAGATAGTGCCATATTCTTCCTCAGTTGGACGTCGTCGATCGATCTCTCGGAGTAGCTCACCGATGCGATTTCGAAGATCTCTCAGAGATTCCTTCAACTCCTGTTTTCCACACTGTTGTTCCTAAATAGACTAACGCTGTTCAGTAAATGCCTGAAGGTCAAATAAGGATGCATGAAAGTGAATTAAAACGGAAAGTAAAAGCGCCCACATGGAACTCTCTCTCACATTCCTGGCATATAGGCTCATCGCATCGTACTTCAAATGTAGTAGCTGGATCGAAATAGGAAGAAAGTTGTTTCCATTCAGCAGGACTGACTGCCTGGCGGAACTCGTCGAGATTGATGCCACCTAAAAAAGTTCCATCAGCCCTGGACTGCACGTATGAGTAAAAAAACCGAAATACCGTGCTCGCAACGAAGTTCAGAGTTGAACTCGACTGCGCCAGATTCGTGTGTGCTCGATCGGCTGGCGGATGAAGATGGTCTTTCAGGTGGTGAAGAAGAGGAAGGATGCTCAGCTGACGAAGATAATGGGACCTCCGGTGGCGAACTTGAGTCACTAGTATTAAGAAATATAGTCTATATTAACAAAGGCAGGAATTACCTTTTCCCTTCGCTTGCGTATATTAGTTTGTTTTGCACTTCTGAATTCACAAATCCGTTCTTCAATCGCCGTCCAGCATGTGGTTCAACGCGATCAGCAGCAGCAGACTCCATACTATCGTGGTTGTTCACAAACTCTGTCTCGAGAGAGTCCAACTCCATAGCCGGAGTTTCAGACCTTTCTGAACTGACTGACGACGAGTTTGCATCGTCGATCTCCACCACATTCATCTAAATCTTAGCTTTCGTGCACATGATGTATGTAGAAAAGAAATGGATACCTCAGAAACAGAATTTCCCTCCTCTGCCGTGTCTTTTGTAGACTGCAATTGGAACATTACTAACAGATAATAAATTGAACAAAACTGTTACCATCGCCGTGAAACCATTTTCTTCAGCAATAGACATATCCCGAGTTGCTACTTCTAGTTTGATTTTCTTTTCATCCGAAACGTACTCCAAATCACTTTCTTCCTTCTGCAAATTACAGAATTTCAAAGCACAGCATGATACATGATACTTCATACTGACCAAAACCAAAGTTTCTTCCTCAGAGATGATGTCTTCTTTAATATCCATACGGTGAAGAATTTCGTTTGTGCTTTGAGTGGAATCATCTTTTAAGACTTTCGAGGGTGTGTGACTTTCATCGCTAAAAGCGGGCGAGTCATCTCCATACTTTACTAGACGTTTCCGTCGCGCCCCTCTGCTTCGCCGCGGAGAGCTTGCATTCCCCGAGTACTTCGTGACGGAGTCAACCTAGAAAATATATGAATTTGCAGAGGTTAGATTGTCTAAACAGTAAAAGAACATGTACCAACCATAGCTAGGTTTACGATGAAATGTAAGCTGGCACCCGCCGACTGCAGTTTATGTTGATGTTCCATTTGACGCAAAGCCAGTTTCTTGAAGTTGGCAAGGCATTTCCGCGATATGTACAAGTGTCCTGGTGGTTTTGGCGTTCGGGACAAAGAACACCTGTCCAAGAGCTGGCAGTAAGCAAATGGCTTTCTGTGTGAAAAGAGGCTGTCAGGAAGCAGTTAGGATAGCGAAAGGACACACAGGAACGAGGGGGCAGACAGAAGCGTACAGAAGACATGCATGCATAGCTCAGTGGGGGAAAAACTCACCTAGTTTTATCTTTGAATATCCGCGTTGCCAACTTGACATCTCCCTCTAAGCTCTCCCTAAACTGTCCTTCCCGCCGCAACTCCTTCACACAATCCACACAGATATCAGTTCTGAAATTCCAGTCTACTTGTGTGATGTGGGAACGGCATGAAAAGCATTTGATAAATTTTTTCGAGATTCAATTTTTTCCCGTACAAACAACGATTGGGCTCTTTGACAAAATATACGCTAACAATCAAAGAATCGTCAAGTGTATTGCACCGACATTAGGAACATTAGGATAACACAGGGTAATGCACAGGTTGGTCTCGCAACTTCGTTACGGTGAAAGTCTTTTTTTACAGCTGTAGCTCGATCGTGCTCATACAGCATCGAAACGCTCTCAGAAATCTATTTTTTGCGGCCTGAAATTGCCACATACAAATTTTTTACGCCCTATATGCACAATCCGACGGAGAACCATTTTTGTAAAGTCTCAGTCTCGGTGTCCCAAGTAGTCAGATATCTCCTTTTTCAACACTTCGAGGCTTGTTAGATCCAACCCCACGAAAATTCGCTATTGTTCCACATGGAGATGAAGCCGGGCCACAAGCTACTTGGAATAAAGAGTAACGAAGAAATGGAATTCCAGGTAAATTGGACTGCGGAGTTTACAAAAACTGAATTGAATCCAGGTTAGGAAAAAGGACAAACAAATCGTTCTCAAAGCAATTTTGTACTTAGAGTAAAAGATGGGGAGTTTTGAAGCGAAGGAGTACAATTTCTATGATGAGCTTTCATGCCTCGTTGTAAGACGATAATATAACTAAAGAAATTTCTATTTGAAGATTATACAGGGTGGGGCAAAAGTCTGGGAGCCTAGTAATTTTCCAGATAAAACCAGAAGGAAGGTACCTAGAAACAGAAAATTTGCTGCACACGTAAACCGAACCTTTATAAACATAGCGCAACTCTCAAACTTTGAGATTGTCTCTTTTGGTTTCAAAGCAGCCCTTCATAGTTCTGGCAATTCTGTTCTGTCATGGCACGCAGGCAGTCGACATGAAATTCGTTCCATGCCTTCATGATAACTTTTTTTTCACTAGACAAACGTGCAATATGATAGAGCAAGCTTTTGTTTACACCGTATTTTACGAAGAATTTTTTTGCGAAATTTAGGAAAAAGAATTCGGAATTTCAAGTGAAGGCAGCGTACGCGCATACTGGAAATTTGGATGCGATTGCGCGAACGGAGGCGAAAAATTTCAATCTAAAAAGAATTGAAATTACTCCATCGATCAAATTCAAATGGATGCTCAATTAGAAGACTCGTGGAAGGAATCCCAATACTCGGTACCTGCTGCGCTCCTATAGCTTTAGAATTTTAATTTAGAGACAAATGGACACCGACACAAAAGTAATATTCGCAAACTTTACTTTGCGTTTTCGAAAGAATAGTTTCTGGTAAACGCAACTATGCGATGTGATAGCGCAAAGCCTCCTCTACATCGTGTGCATCAAATTGTTGAAGAATGTTCACAGTATCTTCGGCTACGAAATAAATTGTGAATACTAAAAGATTTGATTGTTTCGCTCTGCAGAAGCACTTGCTTGATAAGAACATCTCACGAATATATATGGCAAGCACTTTGAGCTATGTAAAGTGTGTTTTGTAGAGGATGATCGCAGTATTATGTGGCACAAAGCTATAAAATCATCAGTAGCTTCGTGATTTACAACACTGCAAACACGGCTCCCAGACTTTTGCCCGACCCTGCATAGCCGAATTTATAATAGCAAATTCATGAAAATGTATACTCATAGCAGAGAGCAAGCTAAACATACCCAGTCAATATTGGATGGGCCTCCTCTGAATTGTCACTATCGGATCTGATCTTCGTCGTGATACCGTACTGCGCAAGCAGAGTCTCAGCCGTTCCTCTAGAAACCCCCTTCACATCTCCAAAAAGAACCTGAAAAGACAGAAAACTTCGAAACATCTCAAAAGTAGAAAACAAAAGCAAACCGAATCTACAAAAAGTCGTCCATGATGACAAATTGGCATCTCTTGAGGTGATAATTGACGAGCTATGGTGTGACGCACACTTCGTAGCCGCGAGACACGAATAGGCCTGTTCATAGTTTTGAGTAAAAAAAAGTCAACGTGGGTATGGGCTTACCGTTTTGCAGACGAAAGATCTGGCTGTGTATCGGATACAGCTTCCGCGGTTTGATTTGTGGAGGATTTCTGAAAAGCGTAATTGGTCGAGGTCACTGGGACTGATGCAACTCACATCATCCTCGATAGGAAGCACTGCAGCATACTCCTTTTCTAATACATCGCTCAACAGCTTTGTTGGAAGGAAGGCAACATCTTTCGGAGCTTTGTATCTGTCCGCATGGGTCTGAATGACGTTTGAATAGTTGTAGCACCTCTAACATTAAAAGCATACCTCTAAGGCATCGAAAAGAGTAGCAAGTTGGTTATACCGTAGAGTAAGCTCATTCAAGCGTTTTTCGCTTTTTGCAATTGTCTCCTTAGTCTGGCCATCAAAACGGCTCTCCGTCTAAAATCGCTGCTTATAGCAAACGGTTTACGAAAGAACTCGAGCTCTGCTTATGCGATCAGTTTCACACCAATGTGTCCATAGAGATGTGTGAAAGTGATTGGTTGAATCAAACTGTAACTGTAAACTTACCATGGCTGCCCATTTTGCTGTGATGCTGTCCGGAGGCATAATTATTTCTGGTACTATGGACTCTTTTACCCGGTACGCTAGTCCATAACAGGCCTTCATGTCTGGAGTGGGACGAGCTCCCGGTGCAGATCGAGATCGTTCTACACCTGGAGGTCGTGCTAAAGGCTCCACGTGCTGAAGCAATAACTTGCTCCATCGAACGTAGGCAAAAAGATGCTATAAATCCAGACCTCATCGTTGTATTTATACCATACTCCAGTGAAAGGATGTCGCACGAGATCATAATAATGTCCACAAAATGTGTTATCCCCTTCATGAATCATCACAGCAAAAAGCTCGTAATCAAAATCATCATCTGCAATCACATGGTTGAAAGGCGCTCCATATAACAGTACACTTACATTTCGATACTCCTAAGTGAAAAGATCGCGCAGTCAACTCCCTTGGATAAACAATAGGTGTTTTCAACTTCCGATTTCTTCCATTACTGTAAAAAGCAGCACCTTAGACATACTCACCAGAGGTAAATGCTTACCTGTCGAAGACATATCGATTGAGCTGCAACATCACCACCGGTGGAAGTTTTTCAGGCAATGTCTGTCTCTTAACATGTCCACGTCGATTGCATTCGTCACAGAGGTAGTCTTCAAGCCTAAAAAAGGGACTTCGCCTGGCATACTCCGATAATCAGTTCATCACGTACACTTCCTCTCCACAGTATGCATCTAGAGCTTCTTGCAAAGTTTTGTACCCGTCAATATTCAGCTGAAGGGCTGTAAAAGGGGAGCTTCTACGACTTTCCTTGCCACAGGTGCACCATATCCTCTGAATCGACGTCCCCTGGAAAACCACAGTGCAGTGCACTGCACGAGGGCTGATAAAAAAATTAAGGAATAAACCCCTGCTCCACAATCATGATATATGAGTTTCTTTCACAACGAGCCCTAACTTTCACTATACAGTGTAGGATAAAGGAAAAATAAGCACACACTTTTGTAGCGGGCAAGCAATAATCGAGAATTCGAAAAAATCGTCAAAATACTTGATGAAGCAAAATCCGTCTTGTCTTTTTCGATATGAAGGTGAAATGTCTCGAAATCGAGAGGATAATTTGGACCGGAATTCAGAACAAATGAAATATGTGTCCTGAGGGATTCCTGCTATGAAAAAAAGTTCATTTCAAAGGCAGTGTTTAGACATTCTGGGCACCCAGGCTCCACTTGGGGAGACAATTAGACCCAAGCGTTTGCTTGTTCGTTGATAAGCACTCCCAAGCACCAAGCTCTCGATCATGACACTGAGCAAGAAATAGAGGAAATTTTCGGTCATGAATGGATTATATGAGCTGCGATGCTTAGCTGATACCTCCAAATCGTGATCATATGGAATCCGAGATACAAGAAATAGTTTAAGTATCCAGATTCATTTCACCGCTTAAAAAAATAGTACTAATAGTTACTCGGAGAACGTATATGCAATTACTTTTTTGCAATAACCTGGGTGACCAGCCGCACGATCAGAAAAAAATAGAGCAAAATAACTGAGATTTACCATAAAAGAGCTATTTCACTTTGACTTTCTCCTTTGCCAAAAAAGTCCCGTTTGTTACGACGCCAGCAAAACATCAATTTTTGCATTGATAAGGAATGGAGTAGACCGAAATTGAAGGAAAGAAGAGGTGCTTTAGTTAGAAAAGAGCAGACAGTGACACCTACCGAATATCGTTCCCGTATTCTCTCGCGAACTTCTGCACCGTGTGGGTGTTTTGATAGATTTCTGTCCAAAGCATCAAAAAGCACGAGAGAAAATTCTTGTGCGTCTTGCTGTTCATTTCCAAGACGCAGGGCAGCAGTGAAATGGCGGTTATCGTCGGTGTCTTCCTAAACTGATGCTGTTGGTTAGGTTAGCTGGTAAGAAAGAACTTTTTTGCCTCGAGGTAAAGAATCAGTAGGCATGTTCAATTGTAGTAAAACTTACGAAAGGCGTTGTTTGCATAGTGTAGAAAAGATGCTGAAGACTATTCATCACTGCTTCCACATCCATTGCTGGAGGCTGTGGTCTAGAGCGAATTGACTTGGCATCAATGAATACAAAATATTACCATAAACTAACCTAACGTAGTCCTCAGATGGGCGCCAATCAAAGATGATCTGTCGAAACACAGGATCATTGTACCAAACCTACGATACTCGAATCAGTAGAAAAGAAGAAGGCAAAAATACAAATTACCTGCAGAAAGCTATTCACATAGCAAAAATTGCCAGAATTAGTCAAACCACATGGAACTTCCAATATGTCTCGCCTTTTCTGGCTCTGAAATGCTAGGAAGTAGAGACCAACTTCACCCAACTTCATTGGAGAGCCGATCTGTAAAAAAAATGAAACCTTATTACCTCTTCAACCTTTGCTGTGTTCAGCTTCTCCTGCTTTATGAGTTTCTCAAACTTTTCCAGACCAAGGCGCTTGATACAATAAGGATTGTCGCGGCAATTGGTGGACCTTGAACACATGCGTGAGCTTTTAAGATTGATATCGGAGAAAAGTACCAAAGAGATTTTAACAGACTTTGGATTGTGAACGTCGTGCAGTCGACAGCCAAGACAATCCAGTTTATGTATTATCCAAGCTTCTTCGAACGAAATATCATCGCTATCTAGAGCAGCGGCGGCTTCCATGGCCTCATCTCGAAACAAAGTCTAAAAAGCAAAGAAATCAACTTTTTATGGGGAAAAACACGGATTGTGACTACTAAGATTGCTGCAGATAACTTGTCACAGTTGTGAAAAGCTTGCAAAAAAGTATTTTCACAGTTTTATTAACATGGAAAAGTAAGTCTATGCACGCATATTGCTTGGCGATACTAACTTTTTCATGACGAAACGGCACAGGAGAAATTGGCTCAGTTTTGACCAGCTGTAAATTTGAGTCTCACAAGAAATTATCTCTGGCTGTGAGATAATGTCTTCTCGGAAGACTGCTTCAAATTTGCAGTGTATTCAATGGATTCGTGAGGATTGGCACATGAAAAAGTTTATTTTTCCGCGCACCAAAGGAGAATCACCCATTCGGAACCAAAAAAAAACATCTCATGTAGATCTGAGCTTGCATGTAAACCTTAGACCATCTCTTTTTCATCTAGTGCAGTGGGAAAGAAATTTGGATGCTCAAACGATAAAACTCATGTTAAGGCTGATCTCTTGCATAACAAAAGGCTGACCTCTTGCATAACAAAAGGCTGATCTCTTGCATAACAATATAAACAACGACTTACTTTACGTTTGTTGGTCTCTCGCCTTGTCACTCCTCTTGACATTTCAGAAAATGACGAAGATCAAGACCGCAAGCTCATAAAGTTGAGGAATTGGACCAAATCGTTACTGGAATTGTGTCATTCATTCCACAGTTTTAACATGAAGATGAAAGTCAGATATTCAATACGATTCTGCATACAGAAAGAGCACTTCTTGGTACAGAGGCAACACCGCATCTACCAAATGCTCACGATGACTAGAATTCCCAAATTTGCACCACCTTCGCGATTACCACAATTCCATGAAAAAGTGCTACATTCCAATGTGGGAAATTGAACAGAATCCCAAAGTTCTAGTTTGCAAATCCAATGAATCTACCCATGTAGTCCTCGTCACTGCAGAAAAGAAGTTCGCACGCGTCGGCGCTTCGAAAACGCGGCGCGGTAAAGCGCTAAAAAGTGTGCGCGTTATTTGCACGATCGTAATGATTTACCTCCTCGCGCGAGCAACTTTTGGCACCGGAGCGCAGATTTGAAAACATTGTTTGGTGCAAGAAAAGGAAGCTTCAATCAACGCTGAAAGGATAGCTTATCTTATGAGGTGCATTGATGACGCATCGTGCATAGGCACGCGCCATACTTGATCCGCTTGATCCGCTTGGTCCGCTTCATCCACTCCGCCATTGCTCAGTTAGCTGATTTGACCAATAGCGAAGTGGATGAAGCGGATCAAGTGGATCAAGCGCATCAAGTATGGCGCGCGAGGCGTGGTTTTTCTCGCCTGATCCGCAAGACCAAAAAGCTTCGGATTCTTTGTTGCGAAAAAGTGGAACTTAGTCAAAATGCATTTGACGACATCACCACTGTTCTCAACACGTTTCGGACCGTGAAATCGTGCGCGACGAAATGTCGTTCTACACTAACTTTTGCTTGCATACTTTCACGCTATGTCCATGAATAACTTGCGCCAAGTGTTGTTTTCGCACTTCTCTCATGCGTACAGTCTGCCCCATTCGGGATCAGGCTGACCGTCGGCTGAATTTGTGCGCTCGCAGTGCTGAGTATGCGCTGTATACGCGCTGTCGCAGAGGGTAGACGTGACGCAATATCCTCGCGACAAAGACTCCCGCCATGCCAATTTTGGCCTGGTCAGGATTAGGGCAGACTGTACGGGTGCCTTCATACCGCTCCGACAGCCGCCGCTAGGAGCCCGTAGCAGCCGCTGGCAGCCCGCAGCAGCACACAGCAGCCGCGGGCCGCTTTTGTTATAGATGCTCAAAATCATCGAATTCTTACTACTTTGGTGCGCCTGCCCACGCTTTCTCCCACGCCTCTTTCTTCCTATTGCGGCTAATGTACAGTTCCACTCTCACACATTACAGAGTTATTCAAGATAAGGACCGGCCAAGGATATGATTTGAAGCAGAACCATACATAAAAAATAAATACTGCAGAAAATGGATGCATCCTAAGTCAGAAGAAATCACACCGCGAAGAAACTTTGACGAAATATGGTTCGACTGCGAGAGGGGAACTGAGCATCAACAGGATAACCAATAACGGCAATAAGATAATAACAACAAAGGACATATGATATATGAGATCGAACTGCGACAACAGGAAGGAAAAAGCGTGGGAGATGGAAAGCGTGGGCGGTTGCACTTAAAATAGTGAGAATTTGATGATTTTGCGCTTCTATGACAAAAGCGGCCAGCGGCTGCTACGGGCTGCTGGCGGCTGCCGGCGCGGTACGAAGGCACCCTACCTCCAGTTTGTTTTTGAGGTCGTGTTCCTAGATCTATCTATCTATCCTTACTATACAAGGTGTCCCAAAAGTAAGTACACACTTTTCAATCGTCAATATCTCTCTTCCCAATGGGTCTTTTTGGCCAATCAAGTGTCATTATGTAGAGGAAGCTTTAACTTAGATTTACAGTATCGATCGAATCGCCGATCGCTCTTCGTTACTGTAGGATTACGGTAAGAACTTCCAGCACGTGGAACCATTGTGAAATATGCCATCTTACAAAATTTTTTCAAAAAAGTTGAAAGATCGTGTACTAAGGCTTTCGCGCACGCTGATTCCACTACACAACTTTCTACGAGTTCTCAGCTTTTTTTGAAGGTGTAATCACATTTCAAACTGATACTGGGAATTCGGTTATTACGGTTTACTTGGGATAACTTTGGAAAGAAGCATCACAGTAAAGCGGAAATTTCATACTCGAAATCAGCGGCGTCCATTACCATAGTGTTAGAGTTTTTGGCTTGTTTGGTTTTGTTCCGAGGCAAAATATGGCTTCCAAGCTCAAAATCCTCGTCGAAGTTCTTACAGTAATCCTACAGTAATGAAGAGCGATTGGTAATTCGCTCAGTACTGTAGATCTAAGTTGAAGTCTCCTCTACAGAATGGTACTTGAATGGCGGAAAAAGACACAATGGGAAGAGAGATATTAACAATTGAAAAGTGTGTACTCACTTTTGGGACACCCTGTAGTATACATTGGATTCTTCCAAGCTCGACGCCAGAGTTTTCTGCGTCCCTCCTATCTTTGAAGGCACCGTCCACCAAGATTCTCGACTTCCAGGTTTTCGTCGTTTCAGGGCCTTCTCATGTCCCTGATTCCAAATATGAAGTCGAGAATCCGCGAAAACCTCGACAATCCCCATTGCAGAGAACCCACAGGCCGGCCTTCCAGAATGGTGATTGGATGAGCGCGCACAAATGGGCGGGCATGGATGGGGAGGGATGGGCATGGATGGGGGTCCTCGTGCATCTTCGCAATTCCGAAGCGATTTTCTCGCTTCCGAAGCGGCATATTGCGTCGCGACTTGGGCATTGGTTTGATAGGAGGTCTTACTGTTATATGCTGCCAAAAGCTCAACGCACTCAACTTAGGGTGGACAGTGCCTTTAACCCCATGCATGAAGGAGGGTCCAGTGTCGTAGCCTACGCTACCGTAATTGTTATTCAATGACCATGTACTGATGTTTTGTACGATTCCGCGAAACGTTCGCAAAACAGTGTTTTGTTTTGTTTGCGATTGTATTCAACAAAGGAAGCTGCCAGCTGGCACCCTTCCGAACACTTATAAGTTTGGCTCCTCCCTTTTGGAGAGGCAGTTGTGATTGAGTTGTAAGCCGGACTCGGCATTTTCGTGGTGTTGTTAAGTTTGCCGGAGAACCCGGCTCGAAAATAAAGCAGTTAATCCATCCGTGTCTAACAGAAGCACGGTAAAAACGAAAATCCACTGAACCCCAGCACATTTTCTGATGCGACAACCGGGAAGAACTCCCGCCAAAAAACAAGTCAAATCTTGTTGAATCTCGTCAAATCAAGATGGAGTCGGTTTTGCATGAAAACCCTCTCAATATCAGCGCCAAGACGCTGAAAACTTTGACGAATAATGTCAGAGAGTTCCGAAAACAGTAGATTTCGCAGAGGGTAAGCTGGTCTACGAAGAAGCAGCCATACACTCCGGCTTGCGATCCAACAACAACTCAACAGCCCTATGATAGAGATATAGCCAGCCATATTAATCAAAAATCGCCCCTTTGTAAGTATGCTGCAAGATAATAATGTGAAAAACACATTTCTCATACACTCGATGCATAGAGCCATGTATTTTGGTAACCTTCACTTTGAGGGCTATGAGAGGACACAACCTTCACCTGGAAAAAACAGAAGTCATTCGGGGCTTCGCCCTGGATGTTATAATCCTGACTGCTTCGGAACGAATGTGAATGAAGCAAACATAGGGAACAGGACAACACTTCTCAACCTCTTATTTGACATAAATTGAGTTTCAGAAGTTTAGGAAAGCTGTTGTATTCTGTTGTGTCCTTGACTCCGGACACGTCGATTCTTCGTCCTGAGGGCACAGAAAGAAGCCAATAGATTTATTAAAGAAATAATAGAAAAACAGAATAGATATGAGAGAGGCAAATTGGTGAACGAATCAACTGATAATGGCTAACAGCGAGCGCCTTTTATAGCACTCATTTCCCGCGCATTGAGGTCGCAGGCGCCTCAGCGAGGGCAGATCATACAAGAAAATAACTGATCAGACACTAACACAACACCTCTCCCAGTAGGGTAGTTACAACAAAACTAGCCTACGAGAAAAACATGAACTATAAATACGAAAAGCTAAGAAATCGATTACACATAGATATCACTAGCATTTAGACAACTACAAATCTAATGAAACAAACATACGATAACATTCTATGAACTAGGTTGGAACCGTTGTACCGGTCTTCTCGTTCTACTCGATCTCCGAAGCGTTGGCTGTGGCGTGGAGGGCTCGTGACTTGATGGCGACGTCGATGTCGTTGAATCCACGGGTACTGACACATCGCTCGCGATCGCTTGCTCAGAACTCCCTTCAGCAGCATTGCCATCCCTCGATAGTGTGTCGTCTTCTGTCAGAACATCCAGCAGTATCTTCAAGGCTTCGGACTGTTGTTTAAGTTGCTGTTGGACTGGAAGCTGTTCGCTGTCGCTTCGGTGACGTAGTTGATTTGCGTGCTTCTTGCAGATTTAATTTCCAACCATTACTTCATAGTTGACGCGTCCAATACGTCTCATCACTGTTCCTTTCATCCAATGGAAGTGGGGTGGCTTCCATTGCTTGGCATATACCAGGTCACCAACTTCGAAATCTTTTCGAACGACTCCATGCTTCTGGTCAAACTGGTCCTTCATGCGCTCTCGTCTTCTTCGTGCGAGTGGGTCTTCTGCATCTTCTGTCATCGGTAATAGCAGACTTAATTTTGTGCGCAAGTTTCTGCCGAGAAACAATTCTGCTGGCGTCTTGTCGTTCAAGTTCGTGTTTGATGTTGTCCTGTACGCTTGTAACACCACATTCAGAGTCTTTTCTGTTGGCCTCTCCTCCCCCTCTAGTTTCTTGATTCCGCGTTTCAGCGTATCAACGAAACGCTCTGCCTGTCCATTCGATTGAGGGTGGTACGGAGCAGTCCTTATATGCGTGATTCCACCTTCGTCACACATCCTCTTGAATAAATCCGATGTGAACTGGGTACCATTGTCGCTCAATATTGTTTGCGGTAATCCATACCTTGCAAACAAGTTCTTCAGAGCCTTCACCGTCTTCGCAGCCGAGATATTGCTCATCTCGATCAT